AGAAAGCACAGCGGCCGGAGCCGATAAATGAATGCAGTGCTGCCATGAACAGACCTGTCCCTCAGGCCTACAAACGATAGCTGTTTGAGTTAATTACAGTTTACATCATCATATTTACCCAGAGAAGAGAAACAGAGATTAAAACTCGCCTCTGAGCCCACTGAGGTGTTATTTCTGTATATACCGTACCACAGTGAAGTAGAGAACAATTGTCCTTGTGTGTAACATTATAATGGATCTTATACTTGACCCGTGAAAACACAGGTGCTATATGGATAACTATACGCATCGATACCATATGAAAGTGTACGTATAAAAATAGCATTAAAGGATTGGTTTAAGTTTGTCTTAAAGCAATACTGACCTGCTATATGCACACTGAAAGAGGTTTTGGTCTGCTTAAATATGAATTCTAACGTTCAGCCGAAGCTAAAATGAGGCTTCAGCAGTTGGATTTAGTCATATCAAGTGGGTATCTTCTAAAGTTACCGTCTTTTTGTTACAAAATTCCCTCTTTGTGTTTCCCCCGATATTGTTTCCCAGCTGAGTTGCAGCAGAGAGATAGCAACACAAAGATGAAGTTTTGTACTGAAAAGACAGTAAAATTTGAAAATAGCCACTTGATTCGAACACAGGCTTACACTGGGAACACATTTAGAGGGGATCTTTTCATGGCCAGTATGGAGAGGAGGAACAATCACAACAACCAGTAACTCTTTCAGTGTTCTTATGGTTATGTCAGTGTTGTTAAACAGATTTGAAAAAAGGTCAACCCATTTTTTTTACATATTATATATAAATTCATACAGCACATGTATTTTGTAAATTACTACAGGCCGCCTACACAGACCCCTGATGTTCGCACCAGGGAAATAAAACAAACAGAATGCCGGCACTCACAGAAAATTTGTCTTCTTGTTTATTATGGGCACGAGCGCGTTTCAACAAGAATCAACAAGAAGTAGAAGTAGGCCTTCCTTGTTCCATCCATTTTGCAATAAGACTGCAGGATGTTCAAGTTTCAGAACATCCCGCAGTTCTCTTTTTCATTAGTCTCTGAATCCTGCCTCTTGGGTTAGCTTGGAGTAATGCAGCATGTACGTATACTGATCAACAAGGAATCACCCATTAACGTGTCTGATGTTCTCACTTACCTCTAGTAGCATCTAGTCATGCAGATAATTTTGGCTTTGTTTGCCCAGTTTCTAAGATGTCTGTCTCTGCAATTTCTGCAGCCATCCCAAATACAGTGGAAGTGAATCTGTGGTGCCAATGCCATTTAAAAACAACAGAAACATGCATTGTCCAGAAACAGAAATAGGACTGTCCATAATAATACTGACACTATTTGAAAGAAGTTGGTATTACATTTTTTAAATTATCATTTTTGTCATTACTGTGAGCGCCACAAACAAATTCCATTCACCTCCATCTAAGTTAGAAATCTCAGAGACTCAGATGAATAACATCAAAACTATCTGCACGAATAGATCATATGGCTGAACTGGCACTTTAAGCCATATATGTATATACAATTATACATTCTGAATTTTGGTTCTGTGCAGTTTTGAGCCATAAGGGAGGTTGTTTTTGAGTGCTCAGTGTTCAATTGCTGTGTTTGAGTTGTGTTTCAGGCTCTAGTTAGCTGGCTAGCCATCTGGTGCAGAGCCCTCAGCCATACAATCCCTCTGACTGGGGCAGGCAGAGAGAGACAGAAAAATAGATACTCGATGTGAGACTCTGTGTGTCTGTGTGTCTGTGTGTGTGTGTGTGAGAGAGAGAGAGATAGAAGTAGTTAGTTTCTCCTGTCGCTCTCCTTTCCTGTAGCCCACAGGAAGCAGCAGCCATTGGCTCCTCCCTGTCTAGACAGAACCACTTTCGCACACACTCTCTCTCTCACACAGTCACACACAAGCCTGGTGCCTTCTACCATTGCAACTTTGATTAATTCCCTGTGTGTGGTGAGAGGAGACAACATCAGCACCATGGTCAGTGGAAAAAGGGCCCACAGTCTGCTGGATGTGACAGCTCCCTGCTTCACACTGATGCCTTATACCCTGCTGGGGTATAAAAAAAAAAGTGTGTGTGTGAGAAGAGTGAGAGCCGGTCAGTAGTATGAGTGAGGGATGGGGAGTGTGTTTGAGTGTATGTGTGTAGCTTCATCTGTCCCCTCAGCCGCATCAGTGCTCAAGCATGTCTCGCTGTGACAGGCCAGCAGCCTGACAGGCACACACACAAACAGAGGCACACTACACGAGTGAGTGCAGGCAGGCGCCAACACCAGCGAGGTGAAGGGTCGCGAGCGAGTGCCTCTCCAATGTTGTGTGAAATGTGTAGATGCCAGTCTCGGCCCATTATGTAGGTATATGCGACTCTGTGTGTGTGTGTGTGTGTGTGTGTGTGTGTGTTTGTGTGTGTGTGGGTGGGGGGCATCTCAAAGTAACTGGTTATTATCACCTCAATATTTTTCTTATTATGACAATTACATGCTCTAGGAGCGAATTAAGCAATACAGGACGCCAAGCGGGAGTGGTTGACAGCTATTTGGAGACTCAATGCACAGAGCAATTTGCAGCACAGAGCCAAACAAATTGGATTTGGGCCACTTTGGATTGGGGCCCCAGATTGTTGGGCGTTTGGATCCTCCGACCGCATGTCTGCCTTGCTGACTGGCTGGCTGACTGGCTTCGATTCTTTACACATGACTATGAAGCAGACACTTAGCCAGGTAACACAATGCTCTGTGGCCCATGACGAGGATTAAGTGTACACGTGGAGGAACTGTGTATGTGTTGATAAATGCATTATACTGAGTGTGCATTGTGAAATTACTTTTTTTACAGTAGTTTTCAGCAACCATAACTGTGGGTTTATTGGGTATTTACAATTGACATTTTTATAGTATACGGGTGTCAAGCTTTCCCACCCTTTCATGTTATTTCAGTGCTGCTACTTTTTTGGTCTTAGGCCACACAGCTGTGCTCAAGTGTGTGTATAATCCAAATGAGCCTAACAGCCTCTAAACGAATTACTGGTACACATTTTCCCACCCCTAAACTGCCACTGGAAAAGCTGGCAACAGCACCCAATTAGGTGAAATGCAATTATTCCCATCCATTCACACAATTAGCCTGTGGGTTAACAACCTAGCTGTACATCCGGCTAGCTAGTTTTGGAAAAGCCGTCGCCATGGTTACAGCGGCTCTCATGGTAACCCCGCCACGTCAAATGGCAGGCTCCCAGGGCAGCCAGTCAGTCGAAAATAACATTCAGCCCCATTGGTGGAGGCAGCGCATTGCATCACTCAGCTCAGAATACTGGGTGACTTGATTGGCTGAGACAGGGAGTGGTACCACGGGCGAGGAAGCGAGAGAGGAAGAGAGAGGAAAGCCAGTGCCCCATGTGCTCAGTCGAGCGAGGGTAGATAATGCCAGGCGACAGACTGGCAGGCTGGCAGAGCGGGTGGGCACTCACAGTAGCATGATGGAAAACAAAGGCTTTGTGTGTCAGTGCCGATATTGCATTAACCAAAACAAGCAGCCAGCAGACTGACTGCCACGCTGACTTGGTTGTCTGTTCCACAGGCTAAGCCATGCATGGATAGAAAGAGATTGGGGACGCCTGTCTCCTTTTTTTATATGGAATAACATGGTGGTAAGCTAATGAGAAAAAGTACAGTGTTTGCCACTGTTGACACTGAATTGACTGTGAGCAACATACATTCAAAACAAATGCCATTTCTTGTCACAAACAATGCACTCAAGACATGCAAGGTTTGGCAGGCATTTCTAGCATTTATTCAAGTGTTTTAGTATGTTTAGATTGGAACTTTTTGCAACTATTTGTTATCTTATCATTTAACTTTTTCCTGAAGAAATTAAATCTTTCATGTGTTGTGGGGGCCCCGTAAGGCAGGGTGATGCTGCTCTCATTGTAGCTCTTAAGAGTCTCTAAGCTCTAGGTAACGCACAGACAGATCGGCACATATCAGTCTGTGGTGACAGTAATGGTTGCACAAGACTCAGGTGGGACAGACGTGGAGGGTCAACAGGCCTGGTATAGGCAGGTAGGATCAGCTGGCATACACCCACAACTCTTCCCCTTCCTCCCTAAGCGGGGCACAAGCCAGGCCCCCGGGGTCACTTATAGGTGACTTCTCCCATATTCAGCTACAGCTGGGGCACAGCCACTAGTCTGTAAATGTGTGTGTGTGTGTGTGTGTGTGTGTGTGTGTGTGATGTGTAGTTAGGGAGCAGCCATCACATTGCATCACATCACATCTGGTCTTCTCTTTACTTTTCTCTACCACTGTCTCTCTTCCATCTTTTAGTGGCTTCTTACTACCTCCTGCGCACCCCACTTTTATACAGCCAGTATTCTGTCAGCAGTATTGGTGGGGATTCCCTGGAATCAATTCAGGAGGGGGAGTACCTACTAAGCACACACACAAACAGCGAGTTTCTCTGCTCACCACAGGGAATAAAAACTGTAATATGAACTCACCCTTGGTCTGATTGAAAGCCCATTACAATTCATTTTCACCACAGCGGCCAGTGTACAGTAGTGTCTTTTTACATGGGTAATGTTGTTGTTCCTCTGCCATATTCACCATAACTGCAAAGAGTTTGTCTCAGTGATTACAGTCAGTCACAGAAAAGTCAAACACTTTTAGTGCATGTGCAGAGTAAACTTTTAAAGTGTAGTGCTTTATGAAAGCATCGGAAATATGTTGCATCTTTGCGTCATGTGTTTCACTTCTTCTTTTTATGTTTTCAAGAGGCTTTTATAAATTGTATGATCTGGTATTTCAGCCAAACAGCCATATTTCAAATATGTATGTAATATGTATGTGTAATAGTATCATGACATAATATGTACCAGGAAATTGTTGTCTTTGTTTGAGCTCACATTTAAATGTGCCTCCTGCTGCATGTCACTTCTCACCAAATGCTTGGGTGAGCTTCAAAAATACTCACTGTAAGTCCTTTCTTCTGTTCCAGGATCTGTCCGGCTCGATTGATGACCTCCCCACTGGGACGGAGGCTGGTCTGGGCTCAGCCGTCAGCGCCGGCGGCTCCTCCAGCAGCAACAGCAGTAGCCAAGGGGAGCAGGGAGGGGCCAGCAACCAGGGACAGTCCCCCTTCTCTCCTCACGCATCCCCCCACCTCCCCAGCCACAGGAGCGGGCCCTCTCCCTCCCCTGTGGGCTCGCCTGCAGGCTCCACTCAGTCCCAGCAGTCGCGATCAGGCTCTGGACCCATCTCTCCTGCCAGCGGACCCTCTGCCAACACCAACGCACCAGGTAAGGGTTGCCACTAGAGCCTGAAAGTATGTGCACATGCATCTTGATAATCTCATTTCATCTTGATGAAAGGCGCAACTTGTTGCATGACAACTTTATTAGTTTAAACTCCACAAACAAACAAGACTATCGCTGACGAGATTTGCCATATGAACCAGACACTACACTGCATTTTACATCATGTACCACCGTGTTAGATTCCCTGGGATATTTGCAAAATTGCTTTACAGCTTAAAGGGAAATTGCTTTGTGCCACCAAACAAGGGGCTGTAGTTTGAAAGCAAATGGGAAAACAATCACAAACATACCACAGTCAGTGATGTCAAATCATGTGTATTACTTTTGACAGATGATGAAAAATAGTTACTGTGACATCACTGATTGGTACGTTGCCAGAAGTTTCAGTTTCCAGTCCCATGTGATTCAGTTTTGACGTGCTATTTGAACATTATGCCCGAAACATCTTTAAAGGTATGATGTGGCCAGAATTTTTGTTTAGTAAGTTCTGACTTTATGTCAAAGCCTATGTTTTGTGTTGCAGACTAGATATCTACCGAAGTCAGCAAGCTGACGAGCTGTCTCATAATACCACTTTGTACCTCAAGAGGTGATAGCCCGATAGTATAGCTCAGGCCTCCTCACTTTAGTTTTAGCTGGGAGTTGTGTGCGAGTATGCTATGTTACACAAACACGCTTTGCTTTTAACCAACCTTGGATTCTTACACCTATTTTCTTCCCATGTTCACTTGGATTAGGGGTTAGAGCAGGGGTCGGCAAGCTATGGGACGTGTGCCAGCGTGGGCACGCAGAGACATTTTAAGTGGCACATGAGAAAGAAAATTCAATCCTACAATATTGACCTATGCCGTTACGTTGTTGGCCCCTCCCAACTTGGACTGATCCTCATTTTTGCTGTAATCTGATTGGCTCAATGGTGCCGATCAAAGGAGTTTACTTTACGTCCGGTTTGTATGACAAGTGCAACAGAGATGGTAAATATGGCAAAAGAAAAGAAGAAAAAAATTTGTTTTTTAGCCTTGTGACTGACTGTACACATGACATGTTGGTAGTTAACAGTATAGTTAGTATTAATATTTAAATAAAAATTGTTGTGGCATTGTTATTGGATATGAACAGAAAAATTAAAAAAGGTTATGAATGTATGAGAAATAAAGATGTTTAGCTAAATACGTTTATTATGCACTCATCTACCAAAATTTTTTGAATTAGAATATCTTAAATGCTTATCACGGCAAATATCGATATATGTGATTCATTTCGATTAAGTCATTACAAAACCACAAACAAGTTACAAAACTTGTAATTAATTAGATACATTTTTTTAATCGCTTGATAGCCCTATTTATCATATGTCTATTATTACCAAGGTCAAACTTCATGTGCATTAACAAACGCTGCTGGCACACTGGATGTCTTCATCTTTGTATATTGACACTTATCACAGAAAAGGCTGCTGACCCCTGGGTTAGAGAATGTAGCATCAATACTGACACGCTGAGTTCTCACCTGTAAGCAGAGAACGTCACACCAGACTCCACTCACAAATGTCTGAATTTAAAGTTCCCTTGTCTTCTGTCAGAGTCCTGTTTGAAGCCACCTCAGTACTGTATTCTCTGTCGTCAAACTGACTTCCGTCAGTCTTGGAGGCTGGGTTCACTCCTGGTCTGGCTGTGTTCACCAGGAGCACCAACATTCCCCTGGTGCTCTAAGCCCGGGAAGTCAGCTAATAGGGCCGCTACTAGCTGTGCAGCTAACTGAGCTAACTAGCTAACAGCAGCTACAGTTAGCTGTAGATAGCAGCAGTTAGTGGTTACTCTGGAGTATGAATTTGACAGGTGGCCAAAATCTTGCAATTCTTACACATTGCACCTTTAAGGCAGTACCATTAGTAAACTTGTTGCTGCTGTGCTACCACAGTTATCACACCTACGTTTCTGCTTGACCTTTCCATTTATTTTTCTATTTAAACACCTAAACCTGATTTCATTTGTTTTTAAATATGTGCATTTAAAGAGGTTTTTAAAAAGGTCATGTAGAAAACTGACCCTAATGCGGAATAGGCATACATGTTTCCACAAATAACAGCATTTAAACGTAGTGTGTTTTGCATTGCAAGGATAGAGCATCACACGTTTCTACTGTATAAACAAACAGGCAAATAAATCAGAACAGGGAAAAGCAGGGTTACTGGAGGGAACCTGTGTTTCTTTGCTTTAATAAGTGTCTTAATTTAATACCCATAATCATTTTGTCCATGTAAAGCTGACCACTGAGACTTTGTATGAGTGAACAGGGTTTGACCTCTTTTTTTAGAGAAGTCCGAATGAACCGCAGGATGAAGTGGCAACACTGGTTTAATAGCATCTCTTTTTTTCTCATCTCCAACTCACCGTATAATCCATCCAGATCAATTTTCATTCTGCCAGTTTGGACAGAGGATGAAGCTGAGTGTACACTGCAGCAGAAGACCACATAATATCAATCCAGCATGTCTAGGCGTTGATGTCTCTGGTCCATTTGAAATCCTAATGCAGACCGCTGAAGAATATTACAGCTTAGTGCAGAGCACTTCATGGAATATGTCTCATTCATTTTCTTCACGCAATTTTTATCCTTGCACTGTAGGGATTTGTTAAGTCTTTGATCACAGTGTTGCAGAAACACGTCCCTACTTTGCTGTGGAATTTTCCACTTCATCTCTCTACTACCTGTGGATCCCACAAGCATTTCCAACATCTATGTCCAGACAATATTTCCTCTCCAATCTGAGTGTTAATGAATTGAGACTGACTGGTAGTGAAGGGCCTCCCATCTGATTTGTTGCCTTATCTAAGATATGGCAGGCCAAACAAGACACCAACAGGATTATCTGACAATACGGTGTGTCTGTCTGTCTCCTGGGGCCATAGCAGACCACATAACCATTTAGATAAACACTGAGCATTATAAATGAGTGTGGGTTTCATTTGCCTCAGACAGGCGTGCGAATGTGTGTGTGCACACTGTTCCCGCCTGGCCTACCCGTCATCCCGCCACCTCTCTGCCCGACTGCACGGCTGACCGGAGCATCAGCATGTCTCAGACCTGTCAGTCACTCTGACGCGGCGGGGCAAAATGTCTTGAGTGAGATCCTGACGCCAGCTCCTCCTCCTCCTCCTCCTCCCCTCCTCGCAGCCGCTTACCAGAGTGATTGACGCTAATGAAAAACTGGGACAGTGGTTTTCCAGGCGCTCGTGCCAAGAATCATGACGACAATCCAGAGTGAGGCGGCAAAGACGAGAAGCGAAACCGATCGCTGGGACGTGATTAATAAGAAAATATTTTAAAATATTCCCTGTGCCAAATAAATGGTGATAAAGCGTGGAGCAGTGAGTAACATCTGGCATGTTTTAGCGGCTGTACAACAATCAGTTTGAATTAGATCAAGGAGCAGCCAGCCTAAGAGAGACACAGGAGAACTAATGTGGTTTGCACACATCTGATTACTAACGCTCCGCTTTCTAACACTTCATCACAAGTTAGGGCACTTTGGTTAATGTTGTCGTTGTAGTTTGGTACAAGTGAGGAGACGAGGGAGCAAGGGAGCTAGCAAGAAACGCTGTGTATTTGTGTGTATGTGTGTGTGTGTGTTGTATCTTCACTTCTGTTACTTCTGCAGCCATAAAAAAAACATGTTCATTATTCAAACCAGTTTGTGTGAACAACAGTGTCCTTTAAATTAACAAAATAAGATAAACATTAATAAGCTAATTAATTAGTGTTTTTCTCTGTAGTAGTTGTGAGCTCCAGTCAAGAAAAAACATATCTTGTGGCTGCATTGCATTCTGGTCCATTAAGGCTGCTGTCAGTGGAGAAATTGGAATCGCATCCTCTTCTATAATGGATTCTGCCCCTCGACTGACTGAAAATCTGTTGAAAACATGGATGTTTTTAAAGTTATTTATCTCCTATTAAAATTGTGAGTTTTATCCACATAAATCCACTGAAAATCCAAAGAAATGCTTGCTGCTGAAGTCTTAAAGTGGGTTATTATTATGTGTATTTTTCCTTTAAAAACAGTACTTTTGGTGTGTGTGTCTACCTGCATGAATGTCTAGCATACTTAATCATGCAAAACGTGGTTTAGAGGTAAAGGGGTATTAAGAAATGACTGTAAATAAAGGAATGTCATCCCAAGCTTTTTAGAACCAATTTTACGTGTGTGTGTGTGTGTGTTGTGTGTGTGTGTTGTGCGTATATGCGTTTGTGTGTTAGTCTGACACCGGTCAGCCCCACTCGGTGGAATGATGCGACATGTCACACGGCTGAGCACTCACGGGACACACGTTACCCTTGACAGCGGTCAGAGGAGAGCAATTTCATCATGTCACCCTTTCACCTGGCTGTCACACACACACACACACACACACACACACACACACACACACACCAAAGAATACCACAGAAGGCAGGTAAAGCACACATAACAGCCCATGAGCACATAAAAAGTAAAAACATTTTATTTTTATGATTTCATGTGAAACATATATGGGCACACATATAAATCACATATATAAGTTCTTTTGCTTAGAGTCACAGTGATGTCTGTGTGTGTGTGTGTGTGTGTGTGTGTGTGTGTGTGTGTGTGTGTGTGCGCGCGCTAGAAAGAACAGAGTGAGAGTGAGGGGGAGACTGACAGATTGCCAGCCTATCATACACCCATACACTTGCACAAATCTATCTTGTCGGAGCTCCACGGCATGCCTGTGATTCCCTCGTCTCTTCACTTCTCCTCTTCTTTCTCCCTGCTCTCTTTCTCTCTCTCTCTCTTCCGTCTCTCCATGAAGCAAATCCAATACACTGTAACATTATCCGGGCCTCGCCTTGCTATTTGGATTCTCTCCCGGAGCCAAAAAGGCACACACAGGGCCAAATTGATTTTCCTGTTGCGCTAGATTTGTGACAGTCGAGCAGAAATCACATTGCTCAACTGCCAACCT